ACCACCTCTTCAGTTGAAACTACAATGACCTCCATATTTTTGAACTGCATTGTTAGAGTAAAAAATCTCCTTGAATCTTGATGAATGGTGATTATACAGGAAAATAATTTTCCACTGAAATTTGAAATCATTGTTTCCATTCTATAGGCCGCAGCACTTGAAGGTCAAAATGCCGGCATAGTTACAGATTACATGTTGAAGGTAGATCACTTTTGAAAACCTCATATCCTTTCAAGCTATTTTTATGAAGCCTACTCAGATAAGGGAGTGGGTGAACCCTCTTTTTCTCTCCATTCTTATTATTATGCCCCCCCCCCCCCCTCCCCCCCCTTCTCTCTCTCTCTTTCTCTCTCACTCTCTCTATCCGATATACAGATATTAGGCCTGGATGTGTGTGCTGACACCAAGGTAGGAAATAGGATGGTGAGAGGAATATCGGGGGGACAGAAGAAACGTCTCACAACAGGTAACAGATATAATATGGAGAATTTCTAAATATGATTTCAATTTTCAAAATCCTCTGAGTAAACAGTTTCAATAAAGCTATTCAGATTTAAGCCAAATACTGCACCATGGTATTTCTTACTCCAAACACTTAAACTTGGCAGACTAATTTGCATAAGATGCCTAAAATTTTACAAGATAAGCCTCTGGTTGTCGAAGTTTCACCGGAAAATCTCTAAAGATTTTCTCTTAATATTACTATTATGTTTGCTAGATGGGCTATATAATTCTATTAAGACTAAATAAGATAATGATTGAAAACTTTTTCACATATTATTAGACTCATAACACTTCTTTTTCTAGAAGGAATTTATCGGCATGTTTATGGCTGAAACTCAAATTTTTGACAGGGGAGATGTTTGTTGGGCCTTCAATGGCTTTCTTTATGGATGAGATATCCACTGGGCTAGACAGTTCCACTGCTTATCATATAGTGAATTCCATCAGGCAAGCAGTACATATATTCAAGGCAACAACTGTCATATCACTGTTGCAGCCGGCTCCTGAGACCTACAATCTTTTCGATGACATAATTTTTCTCTCAGATGGTCAGATTGTGTATCAGGGTCCTCTCGAATATGTATTAGAATTCTTTGAATCAATGGGATTTAGATGCCCTGAGAGGAAAGGAGTTGCTGACTTCTTGCAAGAAGTGAGTACCCCTAGTTGTACTCCTTAATTCTGTAAATCTGAATCTCAAATTTCAGATAATCACCTTGAAGCAAAAGGTTTTCATAATTTTGATCCAAAATGATTTTTAGAAGCTTAATGATGCATAATTAATCAAAATTGAATTTAAAACTTCAGATGTCATACTATGAGCAATTGGGCTCTCAGAATTTTCATTCAGAGAGATTATGAGAAGCTTTAGTACGCATATTATTCCAAAAATCACATAGAGCATTTTCAAATTGTCCTATTTCAAGCAAATGTGTATTTAGAAGATTTTGAGAAGCTTAAGCACACCCTTTGTGCATGAAATATCAAGATCCAAAGGATTATGCTTTTAAGCTTCTAGTTTAAACAACTAAAACCTGAGAGGCTCTGTGATTATCTGGTTTGTTCATGTTTGAACCTGTTCCGTACAAACACATGGTAACCTTCATTCTCCTGCAAGCCTCACTTCATTATATGACAAAGTCTAAGTGGATATGCTTATGAATTTTCAGGTTACATCGATGAAAGATCAAGGGCAGTATTGGTTTCACAAAGATGAGCCTTACAGATTTGTTCCAGTCAAGGAATTTGCAGAAGCTGCCCAATCGTTTCATGTAGGAATAAAAATATGTGATGAATTAGCTATCCCATTTGACAAGAGTAAGAGTCACCCTGCTGCCCTTACAACTTCCCGATATGGTGTAAATGAGATTGAGCTTTTGAAAGTGTGCTTCTTGAGGGAACTCTTATTGATGAAGAGGAACTCATTTTATCATATCTTCAAAACTGTGCAAGTAAGTAACTTTAACAGTTATTGGACAATCTCCCCCGGTCTTTTAGGCAATTTTTTGGTCCACCACCTGAAAATCCGATAAAAAATATAATGAAGATTCACCACTGTTCAAATATAATTTTTAACACATCTCCCACGAATATCAAAAAACAAAAGTAAAATTTCCCAAGTACCTTGAGTTTTTTCAAACTTTTCCATGCAATTTTCCCTTTCTCATGTTTTTTCCCTTACTAATGCACAAAAAAAATATCTTGTTGCAAATGAACAAGATATTGAGGAATCATCCATATGTAAGACAATAATTATTGGTATGTCTCTTTTCTGCATAAAAGGGAAAGTTTTGTTAAAGTAGAACTATAAATGTTGTGGATTATTTAAGAATTGAAATTGACTTTCTTTATAAGAAGATATTGATGAACTACTGTGAAAGGGATTCATGGGATTCAGACAATTATCTCGATCGAGGGAAATCATTGAGAAATAGGAATCTGCAAGTGGCATATCCGTAAATGTAAAAATTAAGTTTTTAAAGCGCATGAGCTTAACACAATGCTGTCTATAACTTTAAAAGGTGTACTAAAAGCTAGCATTTCTTTTGCCTTTCATTTTTCCTAATACTAGTTGCTTCCACATTGTCTTTATTTTCTCTAGATATTTTCAAAGATTTTCATCTTGAAACCAAAAATTTGAAGGCGTCATGTGACATTTCCCTCCCAATAATGATCACTAAACAACTAATAGTTCATATTTTAAAAGTATATTTGCATTATTTTTGGCAGCTTGCAATTATGGCTTTCATCATGACGTCAGTGTTCGTGCGCACTAAAATGCACCGAAATACAGTTAAAGATGGAGGGCTCTATCTAGGAGCCATGTTTTATGGTCTTTTTACACTCTTGTTCAATGAGTTTGCTGAGCTACCAATGACCATTTCAAAGCTACCTGTCTTATATAAACAAAGAGATATGCTTTTCTTCCCTGCTTGGGCCTATGCAATATCAACATGGATCACCAAGATCCCCATGTCATTCTTGAAATCTGGCATATGGTTTGTCATAACTTACTATATTGTGGGCTTCGACCCAAATGGTGGAAGGTAAGAAAGTCATCCGTAGTAACTTTGGTCTCATTTACACTAAATAGCTACTGGAGAAATTTTAAATGGGAAAATATGAAATTTCACCAGTTATTACCAAGAATCCTAATTCCATTGAAGATGTTTAGTAATACTAATGATTTGGGTCTTTGGTCTGAGAATAAGCTATTACGAGCCTTTCTATTCTTTTTAGGTAACTGAGGATAGGGCCTCTGCCTCCATATTAACCATAGATAAAGGTTTACAATATAGATGGTTCTAAATGCCTTGAGAAGATATAGGAGAAATTAGTTGTGTATCAATTTCATCAAACGTTAATAACAGAAGGTGATGATTATCTGGATTATGAATTTCGTGTGCCTAGACAGACTTAAGGAATTGGAAATCAGAAAGATGGATAGTATTTTCGGCCAAGCTAGAGCGCTGAATATAGAAAATTATACAAACTAAAGGTGATATTTTCATACTTAATTTGCAGGATGTTTCGGCAGTACCTGCTACTTTTTCTAGTAAATCAGATGGCATCTGGACTTTTTCAATTCATGGCCTTTGTGGGTCGGGACATGATTATAGCGAACACATTTGGGAGTTTTTCTATCCTTGTTGTCATGGTTCTTAGTGGTCTCCTTCTCTCACGAGGTAATTTACTACAATTAAAATAATTCTGCAAACTTTACTTCCTGTTACTTTGGTCACAAAACGGGTGGTCAATAGGAGAAGCTTTGATTAACAGAGAAAGTGAAAAAGTGGTGGATATGGGGCTATTGGATCTCACCGATAATGTACGCGGAGAATGCAATATTAGTTAATGAATTCCTTGGAGATAGCTGGAAGAAAGTAAGATTATCTTTAACATATTCCATTGGTATGTGCAGTGCTTCCATATCCTATTGAAATTCCATGTTTGAAAATCTTGTGCAGGTGACAAATGGGTCGACGGAAACTCTTGGAGTGCAACTGTTGAAGTCTCGTGGAATCTTTCCCGTAGGTTACTGGTACTGGATAGGAGTAGGTGCACTGGTGGGATACATCATCCTCTTCAATAGCCTCTCCATCTTGGCTCTCACATATCTCAAACGTGAGTGTACTAAACAATTCTCAATCCACTAAGTGTGATATATTTTCCTAAGGACCTCATCTGAGAACCCATGTCTTATCATATGCAGCATTTGGTAAATCCCATGTAAACATATCCGAAGAAGAATTGAAACAGAAGCATATGAATAGGACTGGTGAAAATTTCATGGTCGAACTATCATCTGTTCCCTCGTTGAGAGGAAAGGCATCTATTGGTTTTGGTTGTATCGAAGGTACATTGTTTAACAATTTTCTAAAATTATGGAGTTTGCTTATGGATTTCAGCTCATGAAAACTCATTTGAGTTGCAGGGATGTATGGTGAAATCATGAGGAATAACATCTCAACTGATTCAATATCAGATGGGTCAGATGCCATGGCTTCTAGTCAAGAGTGGACGAAAGGCATGGTTCTTCCATTTACTCCTCTCTCACTCTGCTTTGATGATATCAGATACTCAATAGATATGCCAGAGGTAAAATGTGCTCTCTCTCTCTCTGTTATATTACAATAAAATGACTATATTTACCAAGAACTAAAGTGATTCAAAACAGTAGTGAAATATCTCAATGTGGGCTTTATGCATTTTCTGTAATGGTGACACTTTCTTCTTCTTTTGCAGGAAATGAAAGCTCAGGGCGGGAAAGAAGATCGGCTAGAACTCCTGAAGGGCGTGAGTGGGGCATTCAGGCCAGGAGTTCTTACTGCTTTGATGGGTGTTACTGGAGCTGGTAAGACAACTTTGATGGATGTTTTAGCCGGAAGGAAAACACATGGCCATATTGATGGAACTATAAGTATCTCTGGTTATCCTAAGAAGCAAGCAACCTTTGCTCGGGTATCTGGATACTGTGAGCAGAATGATATCCATTCTCCTCAAGTGACAGTCTACGAGTCATTACTTTACTCTGCATGGCTTCGACTTCCGTCTAATGTCAACCCTGAAACAAGAAAGGTAGGAAGGCCAAAGTCTATGCTTCATCATGAATGCTCTCTCTCTCTCGCCACCACTCCACCACCACATTATGCACTCTATAATTCTCCTTTATCCAGACCACTCTCTTCAAAATCTGACATATACAACACAATATATGCTCGAGAAACTCGCATTTTGTATATTAAAGATAGATATATATATTTTGTCCAACTGATATAAGCTGGTTTTTGTAGACGTTTGTTGAGGAGGTCATGGAGCTAATAGAACTAAAGTCGTTAAGGAATGCTCTAGTGGGGTTGCCTGGAGTGAACGGTCTCTCGACTGAGCAAAGAAAGAGGCTTACCATTGCTGTGGAGCTTGTGGCCAATCCCTCCATTATTTTCATGGATGAGCCAACCTCTGGTCTTGATGCCAGGGCGGCTGCTATTGTGATGAGAACAGTTAGAAACACTGTTGATACTGGAAGAACTGTAGTGTGTACTATCCACCAGCCTAGCATTGATATATTTGATGCATTTGATGAGGTCAGAACCAACTAAATTTAAGAGGGTTCTACACTGATCAAAAATTTTGAAGGGATTTATTTATTTTATTTTATTTATCATTTCATATGATGAAATAAGCCTGCCATTGATTCCCTTGAATTGATTGGATTCCAGCTTTTCCTCATGAAGACTGGTGGTGAAGCAATATATGCCGGCCCCCTCGGATCCCATTCTTGCCATCTCATTGAATACTTTGAGGTGAGGTCAAATAAAATAGTAATTTTCATGGATCAACATCCACATATACACACAATACATGCCTCCATATGTATGCATATACATACACAATTGCAATTACAATTGCCTGACTTCAGCCATATCTGGTGAAGGGAATCAATGGAGTCATCAAGATAAAAGAAGGCTACAATCCTGCAACTTGGATGCTTGAGGCCACATCTGAGGCACAAGAAGATATTTTAGGGGTTAGTTTTGCTGAAGTATACAAGAACTCTCATTTGTATAGGTAATAACTTACCCCATCAACACAATGATTGTGATTTTATTTATATTTTATTCCATTGTACTTATTCTCTTCTTCTTTTCAATAAGTGGGCTTTCTTTTATGGGTTTAATTGTATTTAATGTTCTGTATCTGGTTCATTTAATCTACTTTCCAACTTGAAATTCAATATTGTTACAGGAAAAACAAGGAAATGATTGAAGCACTGAGTTCACCACCCCCAGGCTCGGAAGACCTCTATTTCCCTACTCAGTATTCTCAGCCATTCCTCACGCAGTGCTTCGCTTGCTTATGGAAACAGCACTGGTCCTACTGGCGCAACCCCTCTTATACGGCCATGAAATTCATCTTCACCTTCTTCATCGCCTTATTGATTGGGACCATGTTTTGGGATCTTGGTTCAAAAAGGTGTGAAAATTCCTCTAAAAGATGGACTGTCGTGTTGAGAGAATGAGAGCGAAGACCAACTGGACTTTCAAATCATTACAACCATAATTGATGGTTCGTAGAATGTATTTTGCAGGGCTAACCCACAGGATCTCTTCAATGCAATGGGTTCCATGTATGCTTCTGTTCTATTCATTGGAACTAACAATGCCTATTCGGTTCAGCCAGTAGTTTCAGTGGAAAGACTTGTATTCTATCGAGAAAGGGCAGCCGGAACGTATTCAGCTCTACCATATGCCATTGCACAGGTTAGCAAATCTAGTTACAATGCAAAAGTAAGTTTCTTAAAGGATAAGAATTCTAGGAAATACAGAGAACTTCGATTCAAAAAGATAAATCTGAGTCTTCATTAAGCTCAATTCAGTTCCATCTAAGGCACAGTAGGCAAGCAAAGCTTATTTTCTCAGCTTTATCTCATATAAAGAACATAGGCTAAAATTTACTCATTTTACGACACTGAAGCACTCTATATGCAGCTAGAGCCTACAAGATAATGCAACATTGCAAATCAAGATTTAGAAACTCCGCTCGATCTCGGAACTCCTCCCCTGCCCAAGCTGAGTAACTCAGGCTAGTCCAAGTAGACTCGCCGAGTAGTGTACAAGACCAAAAAAGAGCAAAATTGCAACCAAAATTGAAAATTTGCTAAGTGGGTAATAAGAAAAAGAAGCTATACGAGGCTTTAAAAGTACATAAAAGATGGAAGAAAACTTCACAAAAGATGGAATAATGGAAGAATTTGATAGCTTGAAAGAATTCAGAAAAATTCAAAAAAGGGAAAAATTAGGAAAATAGAACTTATAATAATACAAATTCATAAATCATGTTAAAAAATACAAATTATATATAAATACATTTTTACAACCTATTAATGATATAGTAATATTAATTTTTATAGAAACTACATAATTTCTATAAAATCCCAATCTTCTTCATACAAACTCACATCAGCACCTTGCTGAGGCCGATGTACTTGGCCGAGTCCAAGTTGACTCTGCTAAGTTTTAAACACTGTCACAAGTAACTTATGGTGCAATACACTTACTTACATCAGCAACTTGCTGAGGCCGATGTAGGCCGAGTCCAAGCTGACTCTGCTGAGTTTTAAAACACTGTTACGAGTAACTTATGGGTGCAATACACTTACTTTTTCACAATATGTTAATTTAAATGCAGATTCTTATAGAGATTCCATATATATTGGTTCAAGCACTACTCTATGGGGTGATAGTGTATGCAATGATAGCATTTGAATGGACAACTGCCAAGTTCTTCTCGTACATGTTCTTTATGTACTTCACACTACTGTACTTCACATACTTCGGCATGATGACTATTGCCATGACTCCCGATAATAACATTGCGTCCGTTGTGTTCGGAGCCTTCAATGGAACGTGGAACCTCTTCTCCGGATTCTTCATTCCTAGAGCGGTATGTTTCTCTCTTCTTCCTACTTTGTATCTCTACGAACCAAAGTTAAATTACTCTTCTCAGCTCGGGATGAGGTCCCTGCCCAAGCCGAGCCGAGTAACATAGGCATGAGTCGGAATGGACTTGTCTGACCCTGAAGGGCTTAAAAATTGCAAAAGAAATTTTAAAAATTGTTAAAAATAAAAATAGTAGAAAACTTATGAAAGGCATGAAAAGTGTAGGAAAGATAGGAAAAAATTATAGAAAATGGATTATTGAAATAATCAATTAATAGATTGAAACATTGAAAAAATTCAGAAATTATTGTTTGAAGCTCCTCTCTCCCTCTCCCAGTGTACCTTGCAAATACAATAATAAAACTTAAATCAATAAAAACCATCCAATCCAAACTCCCAGTTTGACCAAAAAATGATACCCCCCTCCCTCCCTCTCTCTCTCCACTGTAATTATAAAACTTAATCACTAAAAACCAGTGTTCAGCAACTCGGACTCGGACTTGGTCAAGTCATTTTTGTACTTTATTATTTTCTAAAATATTTCAGGTATAGATCAATTTTTCCGTAGTCCGTATTTTATATACTTTTTTCATCTTCTATCAGCTCGGGCCAAAGCCTCCTCTGAGGCCCGCAGTGAGTTAAAGAACCTTGCAAAAAACCAGCCATTCCAAATTTTCAACATCCAATATTTACCCTGACTTTGACAAAAACTGATTAATCCTATCTGTCCTATTGGTTACAGAGTTTGCCTGCATGGTGGAGATGGTATGCATGGGCATGCCCAGTTGCATGGACCCTGTATGGTCTGGTTGCTTCTCAATTTGGAGATGTACATACCACCTTTGAAGATGCAGGTGCCTCATTTAAGAACCAAACGGTTGCCGAATTCGTGAATGACTATTACGGATACGATCACAACTTCCTGGGGGTGGTTGCAGCTATGACTATTGGGTTTACAGTTCTCTTTGCATTCATCTTTGCTTTCTCAGTCAAGGTTCTGAATTTTCAAAAGAGATGAGAATATGAGTGCATCAATATTCCTAAGACTTGATTGAACAAACTGTGAGAGAGACATATCATCTTAGCCAAGTAGATTTCTTGGATAATTTGCTAGAGAGAAGCTAATGGAGGAAGATAGCTAAGTGTTGATTCATAGGATGCCTGATTTATTCCATCGGCCCATGGAAAATTTTATTTTTATTTTAAAATTGGGAAAACACTCTTATATTTCATATTTTACTATTAAATCCTACTTTTCGAGAGTATAGAGCATATTTGAATTTTAAATTTTTTTCTACAAATACAAATTATATGAAATTTGAGATGTCCACTCTCCTTTCATCGAGGCGAACTTAATAAAAATATTAAAAATTATTCATAAAAACTAAATTGACCAAAATACCTCTAAACAGAATATCATAATTTTTGTAAATTATTATTTTGATTAGATTTTCCTATTTTTAAGAATATAAATTTAAAATTTCAAGTTATTTAGACCTATAGAAAAAAAATTAAAATTAAAATACAATTAAAATTAAAATACGATATGCAATTGTCTCTTGGATTGCCTCTAATTCAATCTAAGACGTTTACTGCAGCTACATAAGGCCTAAGCATGATTAATACAAGTAAAGCTACACCTTAAATCCTTGTTTGTAAAGCACTTTGGCCACAATAAATCCTCATGATGGCTCTAAAAATATTTTCCAGTACCGACTATGAAATTTGAGGCACCAAAATCGGTTCAAGTCTTGTGGATCCATAAACACTTATTTTTTTGGTAGTCTAGATAATGTGTTACAATGTACACTAGTTTTAGCACTTCAAATACTTTTCTTTTCTTTTTTTCACAACCATAATAGTCAAAACTGAGATGACCTATTTGAAGGTTTTCAATGTTGGAACACTGCAATTTTTAGTGAGTTTTGAGGTGAGGCATTACTATTTTGATAGGGCTGATTTTTCTATTGGGTGCGGTTTGTAGAGAGCCTAGGCTCTAAACAATCAAATTAGAGCCTACCTTTAAATAGTGTCGAGAAATGTGGTCTCAATATTGGAAACCTTTGTGATAGACATAAAATATATTTTTTATATTTATTTATAAAGTTTAAAGCTTCAAAAATAGTATAGATCGACATATCTATAAAAACTTAAAAATCTTGAAAAATGATAGTCCAAAAATGCGTTACAAAATACACTATTTCCAAAACTTAAAATCCATTTTTTTCTCATGTCCATGCATCTTGATGTCGAGATGATCAATTTGAAGATATTTGTTCATCAAAACAACTTCTTCTAGTGAACTTTTTGAGGTTGGTTCAAATTTGATTGTTTATACCGTCAATTTTCACGATTTTCAAGTTTTCATAGATCTGTTCGATATACACTATTTTTTAAGCTTTAAATTTTATAATTAAAGATGAAAATATATTTTAAGGCTATCACAAAGATTTTCAATATTGAAACCACATTTCTCGACATTATTTGAAGGTGGGCTCTCATTTGATTGTTTAGAGCCTCGGCTCTATACAAACCACACCCATAAATTATTGAGGCTAGTCTATGGGTAAAAAATATTACATTCCTAATATTTGAAGTCTTAAAATTACACTAAATAAAATTTTATCATCATCATCCAAGTATCATCTCAATTATTTGGGTTGCAATTAAATTAAAATTTATCTAAGGTTTAAATGGATAATATGCACCTACAACACCAACTCTTTTGACTGTGCCATAAATAGCACTGGGCTTCCTTATTCTAATTCAGCTTCGATCCTTTCTAGCTGCTAGTTTTTTATCTTCATGTCCATCTTTCATCTGAGAAGTTGTTGCTTCTTTGGCCATGGAAGTAACCAAAGAAGCAACTACTGCAATGAGTTCTTGGACTGTGTTTTTGAGGTCATTATATGTGGTAGGCATGGCCATTTTGGCTCTCAATAAAAATATCCCATCCCATTCTTGAAGCAAGGAAGCATATTGAAGCCCAAGCGTTTCAAGTCCACCTCGTGCTAATCTGACTACCAGGATTGCATGCTACTGCAAAGGTAACAATAACATGACTCCACTGCACCTCAATTTTCTTTGTGGTTCTAGCAAAAGAACCATGATAATTCAGAAGAACATTTTCCTTATATCTCTTCCCATAGTTTCATCATGTTGGTTATGTAGCTTGTATAATTTTACTCTGTTATGCTACTTTTCTTCGTTATTCACATGGTGGATTGGGTTCAAAGCTAGTTCGTTAATTTTCTCTTAAGCTTGCTTAACAATGATTTTATATCTGCCGGTTAAATGCACTGAATGACTAATTGAGCAAAGGTTAATTCTACGCGTAGTTTTTTCTTTTTTTCTGTCATGATCCAATATTGAGCTATTTCATCCTAAAATTTCAGATGAGATGATCGGATTTTGAGCATTCGTGTGATTCGGATTTTGAGTATTGGCCTGATTTGACAAGGATGAATGTTCCTTGGACTCATTGGTGCCAGAAACCATAGAAGGAGAGGATCATTGAAGGAAATCCACTTGAGCGTGATGAGCCACGTGTAGAGATAAGATAGAGGCGCACACCGTGGTTAGACCATGGTTGGGCCTCGATCTAGTCACAACCGGGACCTCGTTTGGGACCCGGCTTGGGATCGCCTCTCTCGAAAAACCGTGGGGTGCGAAGCGTTGCGTCTTGCACGTGTGCCGTGCACCCACGCTTGTGAGTGGGTGTGGATAGGTGTACCAACGGGTGAGAGGGATTTTACACAGCAAAAAGGACACGTTGGCCTACCTCATCGCAGGTTGGGTTCGTGAATTTTGTCGGACCGAAATTTTTTTTACTAGTCAAACCGTAAAAAAAATTCATTTCGTTCTGGATTGTATAAAAAAAATGGAAAGAAAAAGAGTGAGAGAGAGAAAGAATGAGAGAGGACAGGTAGAGAGAGAAAAGGAGATAAAAGGGGAAGAATGAGAAAAAAACAATTTTGTGTTATGTAAATTAAATATAAGAAAAAATAATGGTGGATATAGAGTAAGTAAACAGTTAAGAGTGTACTTAAATTTTTTGGACCATCAATTTTAAAAATCCGAAAATTGCAAGTATCGACTTGGACAGTGAATTTTAATAACGAATTACTTTTGACCTTTTTGTCCCTACTTTTGGGACCAACCACTTTCAGTCTTATTCCCACTTCCCCCTAAAAACTCCCCGCCCCAAAAACAAACACTCGGCCTTTTCTCTCTCCCCCCTAAAAACCCTCCACCGCTTTTTTTCTCCCATTTGCAACGGCATTGTGTTTTTCTTTACTAGTAGAGAAACCATTCTCAAGAGAAAGACCCACATTTAAAGCCCTTTTACCATGTTAGAGAGAGAAACACCTCCTCAAAGGGGAAACACAATTTCAGCTTTTGAAAGGGAAGAAACACAATTTCAGCTTTTGAGAGAAAAAACCCGTTTGCAGCCTGAGTCCTCTGTTTCGCTGAAACTCGGCATCTTAAAAACCAGCCCGGCCATGTCGATGCTGGCCATGACTGTGGTCTTTGAGTCAGAGAAGGACGGGCAGAACGTCTCATGATTTCCACTGGTGTAAGCGTCACAGGAAGAGAAAGAAGAGCCACTTCTATCTCAGCCTCGAGCCCCTTCATCACCTCCATCACAACCTCCTCTCCAAAACCCCCCTCCTCCCCACTTAGTACCTTCCCCTCATCTCCTTGAGGTGGCCATTCTTCAGCCCTTTTAACACAGAAGAACAAAAACCTAAACCCAAGCCTCTGCGCTCTCTCTCTCTCTCTCTAACAACAGGGCTGAGTCCACTAGGTCCAGGAAGCCCACTGGGTCCAGATGATCTGCTCTTTCTCTCTCTCTCTCTAACAACAGGGCTGAGTCCACTAGGTCCAGGAAGCCCACTGGGTCCAGATGATCTGCTCTTTCTGTCTCTCTCTCTAACATTGGGTCCAGGTAGCCCACTGGATTCGGGTGATCTGCTCTTTTTCTCTCTCTAGCCCAGTAGGTCCGGGAAGTCCAGTTGGTCCGGGAAGCCCAGTGGGTCCGGGAAGCCCAGTGGGTCCGGGAAGCCCAGTGGGTCCGGGTACCCAGTAGGTCCGGGTAGCCCAGTAGGTCCGGGTAGTCCAGTGGGTCCGGGTAGCCCAGTGGGTCCGGGTAGCCTAATGGGTCCGGGTAGCCCAATGGGTCAGGGTAGCCTAATGGATGGGTAGCCCAATAGGTC